TTGTAGATATAATTAATATTTATTCTCTAGTATTTAGCACGTCTAACCATATAAACATTTAATAAATATTTACTGTGTCTACATTATAACAAAGGTTGGAAATGTTATAGACCCAGTAGATTTAAAGAGAGCCTAGGTATCTCAAATATCGAAATATTTGATTAAAAATAATTTAGATGTTTTTGGATCTTTCGACACATTTCTACCAAATGTAATGCAGAGAATTAAGCAATCGACAACTTGGAGTCCTTGTAATGCAGAGCAGAAATCAATTCATCATTTAAGTCTCTCTAAGTAGTTCAGAGAGGATAGGTTTGAAACCCCTTTTATCATACGGTGCCTTTTAAAGTATTTATTTAACTAACCAAAGGTAATCTATTGCAGAGTCATTTATCCATTTGTAAACACCCCGAACTACTGGTTAACGTTTGAGACATAAATTATAATGATAAATACTGCTACAGACTTAAATTATAAAGACGATAATGAAAATGATAAAGATAATAATGATTTACAATGTAATAATATCACAATTAAATCTTTTATCTAGCCAATGTTTAATAAAATTTTTTCTAAACTTAACAATAGAATTTTTCTCCAATTGAAATTTATGCAAAATTTTAAAATATTTATAAAATTATTTGTTTTGTTGTTTTTTTCTAAACAATGAATAATAAATGACCTTTTTCTAGGTTGTTGAGCATCATCGTACATAAATGATGTTTAATTTGACATTTTCAGAAAAAAATTATAATTGAGAAAATCAGTTTTACTAATAAGATAAGTAAAGTACATTGTAATTAGTCATATGAAATTGTCGTTAGAATAAATCAACAAATAATTATAATTTAAAATTTTATTATTATAAAAGCATTTTCAAAATGATCAAATTAATTAAAACAAGGCCTAATAATATAAATAATTTATTTATTTTTTAGATATTTAGAAACAGGAAATAGAAACACGTTTCTATTTCATTTACCCCCTACTATAGAGTTTTAAATTAACAAATTTTAATTGAATTGAATAAACTGTTTAATTAAAAGCGAAACGCTATTAAAAGTTACATCAATAAGGAAACTAATTAAATTGCGTAAGTGTTTTTCCATCTACAAACGGACTTTAAACCCCATAAAGACCCCCAAAAAAACACATAAATTATCTCACATTATTCAACACATTTATGACCACAAATAATACAAAAAGAATTTCGCACAATTCAAATTATAATTAATTAACATTTTATAAACTTTGACAATTGATAACATAATAACAGCAACAACTCAAATAAACGATTAAATATTATTTAATTATAGACATAAAAACATCATATAAAAACGGCAAAAAAAAAATAAATAAATTGACCAAAATTCTATATGAACTCGAAAAAAAATATGTACTTCTTCAAATTACCTACTCTCTAACATGGTGGTGGCTGTTGACGAAATGTTTATTGAAATCAATTAAAACGTCATAAAATGGGAAAAGTAAATAATAAATAAAAAGAAAACGAAAATTAATAAAAATGAAATTAAACATGCAATAATGACGATCATCATGATGATATTTACAATATTTGTATACATCACAAGCATGATGATTTCGTTATTAATCTATATTATACGAAATTATCGTAAAATAACAGCACCACACTTTATTATCGTAATATATGACATAATATAATTGTTTATGTATAATTGTTTTAATTATTTAGCTTATAATAACATACATATATGTAATTGATATTGAATTTGATAAAGATTGAGGGTCTTGGTAACAGACACTTGTAATCAAGTAATTAAGGTCCAAACGTTAAAAGTATTTACGTATCGAATAACAAAACATGTTTCGAAAATTTAAGATAAATTCCAGGAGATGGTTCCATATATACTTCGGTCATTATGGATCATTTCTTCTCGAATTTATTAACACGTTTCACTCATCTTTTAGATATATGCAAATGTATGATTTGAGCCCGATCCCTTTCCTCATCTTTCTGAATTGGGAAAGACCACACTCAGAAAATTTGGGGATATATTATTTTGTCATTCCACTTTCAATACATCTAAATATTGGTCTGAGACCCAGCATATTTATGCTTCTTTGATTCTTAAACGATCTAGCCAAGTGTAAACGGCTGTATATATACTTAAGTTCCCTTATTATTAAAACACGATAGGTTCCGATCATAAGGAGTTAGAAAGCTCGATCTGTGATTGACCCCAAGTCCCAAATAAGATCCCTTTCAGAGAATGACATAAACTCATATTACTTGCTTTAAAAATAGCTGTATAGTCATAAAATTTGACCTAGTTTGTGTCAAATTTTAAAGGAGTGAAAATCTATATAACAAATTTTATGAGGTCCATAATTGATCCTATCCCCCATATAAACGATTAAACGGTCCTTAATTGATCCAAGCCCTCGATAAAGAATCTATTCCGAAAATAATCCCAATGTTCATATACATATCGATATATAATCCATCTAAATCTTTATATCAAATCTAAAGAATTATGTTTGTTCGTAATCGATAAAATCAGGAACTATGGCACCTGATGAATTTCAAATATATATTTCAGGAATCGTAAGAAGTGTTCCTGTAAAAAAGTTTTAAATTTGTCCGACAGATAGCGTCGCTGTTTTAATTTTCAGTCAGTCAAAATTTTAGAGCCATATAGACCTATACGTGTAGAATCCACATTTCAGAGATACAAGCCGATGGGAAATGATCGGCGGCGGCGGCGGCGGCTTATTACAGAAAATTTCGGCGGCGGCTAAATTGTCGGCTCAATTTAACTTTTTCTTTAGAAATTGACCTTATAAGGTTTATTATATTGAAAAATCTTTGTATAATAGTCTGTTACATAGAAACCTGTCTCTATATAAGTTTTTTTCTGCAGAAAATGGACATTTATAGTAGTTTTCACTATTTTAATATTAGCACAATATTGTGTGGCAACTCTTTTCAATTTGCCATAAGAATTTAAAATAGTGGCAACTCCGTTCAGTTTGGTGAAAGTATGTTCTGAAATACATGTGTGATTCTAATCTTTATCAGCGGCTACGTTTAAGCCGGCTTAGCTTTTGAGCCGAAAGAAGTCGGCGGCGGCGCGGCTTGCAAAATATTACCGGCGGCCAGCCGCCGCCGATTTGAGCCGTCTCGGCTTGTATCTCTGCCACATTTCCAAAGGCCTGCAAAGCGGACCGGGCACCACTAGTATATAAATAAAAGAATAATGTTTGTTTGTAATCGATAAATTCAGTTATTATGGCACCCGATAGGACAAAATTTCAAAAATATGTTTCAGTGATCGTGAGAAGTGTTCCTATAAAGTTTTACATTTGACCGACAGATGGGCTATTTAAATCTTTACATGTAGAATCCAAATTTACAATCATAGGCCTTCAACGTGGGCCGGGCACCACTAATAATGAAATAAATCGTTATAGCAAATTACAAAAGCATCGATTCTTAATGATCTAAGTACATATATAGGGCCACCTTCCGAATACTTGCTTTAAGAACGATTAGGTCCCTTCGTTGCCACATCATATGATCTTGACAACCTTTAAACATTTGGCTCTATCTAATACATCAAGGTCATCTTCCTTAACAGACACGAGCTCTTCTACTAGAGCTCATAGGATCTTCTCCACCAAATCTCTTATCATTAGAGACATATTGATATTTCCAAAGTTTAAAATAAGTCGAGTTGTAGAACCTTTAGAATACACAGTCTGTCAATGTGTTTCTGCGGAGATGCAAGCCTATTCGGCTCAAATCGTCAGCGGCTGATCCTAAAATATCAAATTCTCAGCTTATATTTAGCCGATATTTTAGAAGCCGCCGGTATATTTTATAACAAGCTGCCGCCGACCAAAAATGGTCGAGCCGCCGCCGATCATTATTATTATCGTCTTGTATCCTTGTATTTAGCTAAATATTATTCTCAAACTCATTTTTCAGATTTTGTTCTGGTAGGACTGATATCTACCAGGTTACCATTCAATACCACAAATCTATACTAACGTATGAAATTCTTTCTCAAGGACGACAGCAGTCAACGAATTAATATACCTTTCCGTTTAACTTATAGTAAGAAACAATGACAGTGCCGCGCCTCCAAAGTCTTACACTGACGCAAATGCCGCTCAATGTTAGACAAACTCTGGATTACTAATAGGTATCATCGAAATTCAATAAATAACTCAGTAAATAGGGGGTAGTTAGATAGAGTTGATTTTAATAACTCTAACCCAGTAATCGTAAATTGGGAGATTATGAACAGTAGAAATTTCAGATACTTTCTTTACTAGTTCGATAGTAATCAGCACAATTTGGCATGGTTCTCTTTTTAATGAGCCTAAAACATGAATCATGTTGGAGTATTATTGATATTCAGAAATTTTAGTTATAGGTAATTGTTATCCCGATCTAAAAATTGTATATTTCTTTGAAAACTACAAAATATTCAATATTAGCCATATTTAAATCTATTAAGAAAGCTACTAGAACATCATAAATTCATTAAAAAAAGCAAATACTAAGCGAAAATTCATGCATCCATTCAGGGACACACTCACATACATATGTACATTATTTATTATCAATGGAAAATTCCCTTCTTGAATGGAAATAAAAATAAAACGGGTCTACAATTACGCGATAATTATGATGATGACGACGATGTTGGTGATTTAGAGAATGTATCCACTACTGAATATAAATTTATTTATAACTTATTTATTTTTATTATTTGCGGCATTATTGAACTAATTTATTATAGTATCTTTTTACCCTAGAAAAACTAAAATAACAGTCTTAGATAATAACAATTTTGTCAAATTGTGCTAAATTTATATTAAAAATTTTATTTGCAAAAAATAATCATGTTGACGTGTAAATGGTTAGAAAATCCGCAGACAGTTTTTTTAATTTGTATTTAAAATAAAAACATTTTCTAATAAAATATATTTGTTGTTCTAGTTGTCTCATTATTTTTTTTATCCATTTTTGTATTTGCAGTGAAGTTACAGAAGGTGCCTTACAAGTATGGCGTACATTACCGGAACGTATTAGACAAGATCCAAGTTTAGCCTCATTTCGCCAAGAACATGAACGTTTACATGGTGAGTGTAACAATCTGAAGACTTACATATGGTTATTAGGGTGGGTCTAGTTTATAAAGCAAAACAAATTTAAATGGTTGATTCTGAGTTAATGACTGACGAGCAGGATCAAAGAATTGAAATGTATTTTTAAGGAATCTCCGAGGTTTTATGAATTTTAATGATAAAAGTACTTAGAGTAGGGCGATTCTCTGGCTGGTAAAAGAGGCCCACTTTATTTTTTCGGACTTGATGTAACAAACAAACAAACAAACAAACAAACAAACAAACAAACAAACAAACAAACAAACAAACAAACAACAACAAACAAACAAACAAACAAACAAACAAACAACAAACAAACAAACAAACAAACAAACAAACAAACAAACAAACAAACAAACAAACAAACAAACAAACAAACAAACAAACAACAAACAAACAAACAAACAAACAAACAAACAAAAAACAACAAAAAACAAACAAACAAACAAAAACAAACAAACAAACAAACAAACAAAAAAAAAAAACAAACAAACAAACAAACAAACAAACAAACAAACAAACAAACAAACAAACAAACAAACAAAAAAAAAACAAACAAACAAACAAACAAACAAACAAACAAACAAACAAACAAAAACAAACAAACAAACAAACAAACAAACAAACAAACAAACAAACAAACAACAACAAACAAACAAACAACAAACAAACAACAAACAAACAAACAAACAAACAAACAAACAAACAAACAAAACAAACAAACAAACAACAAACAAACAAACAAACAAACAACAAACAAACAAACAAACAAACAAACAAACAAACAAACAAACAAACAAACAAACAAACAAACAAACAAACAAACAAACAAACAAACAAACAAACAAACAAACAAACAAACAAACAAACAAACAAACAAACAAACAAACAACAAACAAACAAACAAACAAACAAACAAACAAACAAACAAACAAACAACAAACAAACAAACAAACAAACAAACAAACAAACAACAAACAAACAACAAACAAACAAACAAACAAACAAACAAACAAACAAACAAACAAACAAACAAACAAACAAACAACAAACAAACAACAAACAAACAAACTAACTAACTAACTAACTAACTAACTAACTAACTAACTAACTAACTAACTAACTAACTAACTAACTAACTATCTAACTAACTAACTAACTAACTAACTAACTAACTAACTAACTAACTAACTAACTAACTAACTAACTAACTAACTAACTAACTAACTAACTGTCCACATGAGATTCTTTTTCCCATATTTTCCATTCAGCCCACGTTGCCTCGTACAGTTTTTAATTCAGGAGTTCGCCACCCCTTAAAAGTAAGCATATTTGCTCTTTCGTTACCGATTATTCCCCAGTGGCCTGGTACCCATATGATGCAAAGCTTATCTCTGGAAAAGTATTCATTATTAATGTAAACATCCGCAACTTTTCCTTAGGGTGATCCTAATGTTTAATACTTTGAGCAAAAATTTGAGTACGTTTCAATTGGTGGAATGGATTTTTTGGTCTTTCTGTTTTCTTTTTTTTTTGTTCATCTGCTGGTTTAATGGTTTTACGCCATCAATTTTTATTGTCTGTAATTTGGTTGGCGGTTGGTTGGTCATTGTGTTTATAGCTTGAGATGTGTATGTAAGTTTTTATTTTTTTGTGGCATTTTATAATCAAATTAAATGCTTTTCGTCCATAAAAACATCTTCTAACAATAAATGCATATTGTGTGTGTGTGTGTATGTATTTTTTGTTCATTTAAATTTTTGTTAAAATTAGAATACAATAAAATAATAATGAATGAATGCGCTTTTATATCAGTTCAATGACGTCTTTTAGGGAATATGCAAATGTAAAATCTTTCTCCAATTAAAGCTGTAAAATTATTAACTTAAAACGCCATAAAGTCTGTAAGACTTAACAATAATAATCCTTTTGGAATTTGTCTTTTGGCAAAAACTGTGTGTGAAAAATAATTTGAACATGAAAGTTCTTTATTCTTAATTGATAAATAATAAAATAATTTACATATTTACAACAGAAATTGGATTCTTAATTTGATTTAAAGGCAACGGTAATATTAGTTCAGTAAAATGTTGGTTTCAACAAGTTAAAAATAATTACTGTAAAAAAACCTTCTTAATTCGAAAATAACATTAAAATTAAGGTCCCTGACCCCATAACAATGTGTTTCAAGGATTTTCAATGACTTTGTTGTTGAATTGCTTTTACACAATGTTTATGTCTTACTTTGCCATAGGCCCAATTGGCTACATCCATTTCAATGTTCGTTACTTCATTGATATGTCCTACACATAATGTTATGTCTAGCCAACAGTTATGATATATGCCGAAATTTGTTTACCTCATAAAAATATTAGACTCTTGCAAACTGCCAATTAAGTCATGAGCGAAATGTTAAAATTTTTATGGTAAAATTATGTTAGATGTTAAAAAACAGACTAATAATTAAATTACAATTATTTCTTTTTAAATGTTTTACCTAAGCATTTTTGGGAATTTATCATTTTGTATATCAAGTACTTTAGATCGTTACTATTCAAAAGTCGTGATGGAATAAATGAATTTCAAATTAAGAGAAATTATATGTGTCTTCAGTTGAAGGAGGAATAGGGTGGGTTGCTTAAAATACTAATTATGGTAAAACTTTAATTTGGATCAATATCGGTCATATCTTACTTACTCCATTGTTATGTTAAGGACCGATCTTTCTTTGAATCTAAACTTTTATTTAAGGATTTTTAAGAAATTTGCCAGGAAATTGAAAATGACGCAATTGTTTAAAGCTGTAAGGTTGGTTGCATATTTAGTTAGTTAGTTAGTTAGTTAGTCAGTTAGTTAGTTAGTTGTAGTTAGTTAGTAGTTAGTTAGTAGTTAGTTAGTTAGTTAGTTAGTTAGTTAGTTAGTTAGTTAGTTAGTTAGTTAGTAGTTAGTTAGTTAGTAGTTACTTAGTAGTTAGTTAGTTAGTGTTAGTTAGTTAGTTAGTTAGTTAGTTAGTTAGTTAGTTAGTAGTTAGTCAGTTAGTTAGTTAGTTAGTTAGTTAGTTAGTTAGTTAGTAGTTAGTTAGTTAGTTAGTTAGTTAGTTAGTAGTAGTTAGTTAGTTAGTTAGTTAGTTAGTTAGTTAGTTAGTTAGTTAGTAGTAGTTAGTTAGTTAGTTAGTTAGTTAGTTAGTTAGTTAGTTAGTTAGTTAGTTAGTTAGTAGTTAGTTAGTAGTTCGTTAGTAGTTAGTTAGTTAGTTAGTAGTTAGTTAGTTTAGTTAGTAGTAGTTAGTTTTAGTTAGTTAGTTAGTTAGTTAGTTAGTTAGTTAGTTAGTTAGTTAGTTAGTTAAGTTAGTTAGTAGTTAGTTAGTTAGTTAGTTAGTTAGTTAGTAGTTAGTTAGTTAGTTAGTTAGTAGTGTTAGTTAGTTAGTTAGTTAGTTAGTTAGTTAGTTAGTTAGTTAGTTAGTTAGTTAGTTAGTTAGTTAGTTAGTTAGTTAGTTAGTTACTTAGTTAGTTAGTTAGTTAGTTAGTTAGTTAGTTAGTTAGTAGTTAGTTAGTTAGTTAGTTAGTTAGTTACTTAGTTAGTTAGTTAGTTAGTTAGTTAGGTAGTTAGTTAGTTTAGTAGTTAGTTAGTTAGTTAGTTAGTTAGTTAGTTAGTTAGTTAGTTAGTTAGTTAGTTAGTTAGTTAGTTAGTTAGTTAGTTAGTTAGTACTTAGTTAGTTAGTTAGTTAGTAGTTAGTTAGTTAGTTAGTAGTTAGTTAGTTAGTTAGTTAGTAGTTAGTTAGTTAGTTAGTTAGTAGTTAGTTAGTTAGTTAGTTAGTTAGTTAGTTAGTAGTTAGTTAGTTAGTAGTTAGTTAGTTAGTTAGTTAGTTAGTTAGTAAGTAAGTTAGTTAGTTAGTTAGTTAGATTAGTTAGTTAGTTGTTAGTTAGTTAGTTAGTTAGTTAGTTAGTTAGTTAGTTAGTAGTAGTTAGTTAGTTAGTTAGTTAGTTAGTTAGTTAGTTATAGTTAGTTAGTTAGTTAGTTAGTTAGTAGTTAGTAGTTAGTTAGTTAGTTAGTTAGTTAGTTAGTTTAGTTTAGTTAGTTAGTAGTTAGTTAGTTAGTTAGTTAGTTAGTTAGTTAGTTAGTTAGTTAGTAGTAGTTAGTTAGTTAGTTAGTTAGTTAGTTAGTTAGTTAGTTAGTTAGTTAGTTAGTTAGTTAGTTAGTTAGTTAGTTAGTTAGTTAGTTAGTTAGTTAGTTAGTTAGTTAGTTAGTTAGTTAGTAGTTAGTTAGTTCGTTAGTTCGTTAGTTCGTTAGTTCGTTAGTTGTTAGTTCGTTAGTTCGTAGTTCGTTAGTTCGTTAGTTAGTTAGTAGTAGTTAGTTAGTTAGTTAGTTAGTTAGTTAGTTAGTTAGTTTAGTTAGTTAGTTAGTTAGTTAGTTAGTTTAGTAGTTAGTTAGTTAGTTAGTTAGTTAGTTAGTTAGTTAGTTAGTGTAGTTAGTTAGTTAGTTAGTTAGTTAGTTAGTTAGTTAGTAGTTAGTTAGTTAGTTAGTTAGTTAGTTAGTGTAGTTAGTTAGTTAGTTAGTTAGTAGTTAGTTAGTTAGTTAGTAGTTAGTTAGTTAGTTAGTTAGTTAGTTAGTTAGTTAGTTAGTTAGTTAGTTAGTAGTTAGTTAGTTAGTTAGTTAGTTAGTTAGTTAGTTAGTTAGTTAGTTAGTTAGTTAGTTAGTTAGTTAGTTAGTTAGTTAGTTAGTTAGTTAGTTAGTTAGTTAGTTAGTTAGTTAGTTAGTTAGTTAGTTAGTTAGTTAGTTAGTTAGTAGTTAGTTAGTTAGTTAGTTAGTTAGTTAGTTAGTTAGTTAGTTAGTTAGTTAGTTAGTTAGTTAGTTAGTTAGTTAGTTAGTAGTTAGTTAGTAGTTAGTTAGTTAGTTAGTTAGTAGTTAGTTAGTTAGTTAGTTAGTTAGTTAGTTAGTTAGTAGTTAGTTAGTTAGTTAGTTAGTTAGTTAGTTAGTTAGTTAGTTAGTTAGTTAGTTAGTAGTTAGTTAGTTAGTTAGTTAGTTAGTTAGTTAGTTAGTTAGTTAGTAGTTAGTTAGTTAGTTAGTTAGTTAGTTAGTTAGTTAGTTAGTTAGTTAGTTAGTTAGTTAGTTAGTAGTTAGTAGTTAGTTAGTTAGTTAGTTAGTAGTTAGTTAGTTAGTTAGTTAGTTAGTTAGTTAGTTAGTAGTTAGTTAGTTAGTTAGTTAGTTAGTTAGTTAGTTAGTTAGTTAGTTAGTTAGTTAGTTAATTATTTAGTTAGTTAGTTAACAACTTCCCATTTGTCTTCATAATTCTAACCTATGACCGCATGCGACCAAAAAATAAATTTCTTCTCATAAAAATAAATCAAACTTTATTACCACATCTGTCGAGCAACCATCATTCATTGCTAGGATTTGTAGATATCTACATATTTGTTGCTCCTCTCTTTATTGATTTTTCACAGCTTGTTGAATATATTATCAGTTCATGCCTTTAGTCTATCAATCACATCTCTGTATGTATTCCATTTAATACATGTTATACTATAGTGACCCACAAATAACTTGAAAAGTACTTTGGTGAACATCTGATGCATAAAAAATCCTCATATAAAACCCTCATAACATTTTATTATACAATACTGCCAATATTTTTTACACATAAAAACTAAAGAAAATCTTCCTTATTTATTTATAACGCTATAGACGTTCGAAGCTAATCATTTAATCGAAGAAGGAGAGAAAAACTTTTAAATATTTGACCGAAATTCCCCCTTCTTTAGGCCAGGAATTTTCTTTAAACTCATACTTTTAATTGATTGACATTCAAAATGTTAAACTAAAAGAATATTAATTTGTTATTGTATAAATATTTGTATTTACGGTTTAAATGAAATTCAATATTTAATATCCGCTAACAAAAAAATTTTGCATTTATTTAAACATTTCTTTCATACGATGATTCCGTGTCAATTCATAGTAAAATTCCATTTACCAAAAGGCCAAAATACAAACTACAAATGATTTATTTCGCAAAATTACCCAAAAACTTTTAGGTAATTTTCTTTTGTTGTCATGTTTTTCTTTCGTTTTCTTTTGTATATTTTCGGCATCAATTTGCTAAATAAACACAATAACCACAGGGGGTGGAGAGGGGAGAGAGAAATATGTTATTATTATTAATATTAAATAAATATTTTATACAAATAAAGGCAAAATTGTTTAAATGCTTGAAACTAGGACTAAAGTAAATAATGCACAGTGGGGCTGTATTGACTCTGCTAGTCCTATTGTGATTTAAAACTTGAACAAATACTACTTGTCTAAGCTTTTGGAGTATTCGTTTATAAATGGCAGATTTATATCTATACAGTTTCGATTCTGCCCCACTGTATATTGCACTCGTATGCCAGTTTTAACGGAAATTTAACGAAATATTACTAAGGGAATATTAAAAACAAATAAGGAATCATACTCAGGTTCGGTGACGACCATATGACACCCTACTACAGAGAAATCAATTTGGGCCCTAGGTACATTCCTCACAGATTTCCACATTATCCTGAAATATTTTTCTCAAGATATAAGTATTCCCCAGTTTAGGAGTTACTTTCCATATTGGACTAGCTAGTATATTCACCATTGTTAAAAAGTTGTACCTAATCCAAAAAAGGAGTCTCCTTAACCCCAGTTAGACTTCACCCAGTTAAAGTTTTTTTTGCGCTATTGAACATTTTGAACTGAATCTTTATAACTTATCTAGAAGCAAACAATCCGGCGAAAAATACGATTTTTACAGAGGTCGTTTAACTGACGACCCCTAAGGAGTCCCTAAAACCCCTACAACATGGTAGGAGAGTAGTGGATCTTAACATATCAAAAAGCAAGACTAATATCGTTTGGAATAGGGGAGAGACCAATGACTTACTGGGTATCTCAGGCCTCGGATCTCTAACCGATCAATTATCTTTTCGATCATAGACCAATGTCTTCCGAGATTTACCTCCTGATTTAATATGTTTGACTCGTTCAATCGCACTTAATACGATAATGGCGCATCTGGACCATGTTAATTTCAATCCACAAGCTCTGGAGTCGCATATCTTTCGAATTCGTACGTTGTAAAACATTCTTTACCGCATTTGATCTACTTATTCAACCTAAGGTATTCAATTTCTAGGTAAGGCTTAAAGCCCCAATTAATTAGGATCGTTTTATAGGATTCAAAGAATGATGATGGATATGAGAAGATATGAAACTATTACAAAACTATCTGATACATCAACAGAATGTAGGAGCATCGCTAAATTCGACCTTAGCCTCAGAATTTCTCCATCACATCAATTTTGAAAGATATCGTTTCCCCATTTTTGGTTGTTAGTGTTAAATTGTCGTTCGGGATACTGGTTTTAATAACTGCTTGGATCAATTATGAACAGAACTATTATGAACTTTTGGACCACCCTAATACTTATGTCTCATACATATTCATTAAGTCCTTTATCTTTATATCCATTATAACTATTATTATTTCTTATGTAATCCTAAAGGCTATGAACCCGCCGATGTTGATCCTTTACCCAATGATGACACCGATGAACATGACCATAACAATGGCAAAATTATGGGAGACGGTGTGGGTGGTCATAATAAAAATACAAATACATTTACACAAATTGGTATTAATGTCACAAACGAAATGGGACAGGTGCGCATACTAGATGGTCGTGATGTTGAGAATAATAATGAGGATCAACAGGATGATACCGAACATCATGGTAATTCCAAAGTAAGTTAAAGTGTTTTAAAGTATTTTGAAGGTTGTTGTTTAAATAAATTGATTTCTTAGGTGAAAAAATATTTAATTTGGTTTAAAATTGCGATACTCCTGGTAGTTTGGGGCGTTTTTACGGCGTTTCTAATGTCAACAAATGAACATGTGGACGAATTGAAATTGATTAGTATACCTAGGAATGGTACCGAACGAGGTAAGTTGAATAAAAATACATAAATATTAAGGAAAATATCACAGTTATCAGGCCAAGGAAGGAATTTGTAAAAATTGGATTGGATTCTGGTCCAAGGTTTTAGAGCCTTGGACTTCCTTTTCCTTCTTTAAATTTCCAATGCAATTTGATTTTAAACATATAATTCTCCTTGTTTCCTTTCCAGTATTCCCCGTCAACTGTGCTGAACTCACGCGAATAGGTCTCAGTCTGACGGGTCCCTTTAAACTACAGGAAGCCGATGCTGTAACAGACACAAAACAACGACCGCCTCCCCTACTCGAGGTGTACGTAGAACGTGCCTATTTCAATGAATCCGGTGATAGAGCTTACGATGAAATTGTTTCGAAAATTTGGAAATTAGATTTAGTATATCCCGAATATATGGACTCGACGCGAGAAACTAAGAAAGTGCATCAATTCGACATAAAGAGTATACATGAAGAATATCAAAATCTTACCAATCAAACAGAGTTGACGCTGCACTTTGTCTCGAGCATAGAAGCTGAACTACCAGTGCAACTAAGCATAGATGAATCTCCGATTTATAAGAAGGAGGGTGTTATCTATGCTGCCGTAGTGCTGTGCGGTCTATATATTATGATTATTTGGGAAATTGTTAATCGTACATTTGCCGCTATTATAGCGTCTACTTTATCGGTGGGTATTTTGGCTGCTTTGAATTCAAGACCCTCTATGGTTACCATTATGGGTTGGATCGATGTGGAGACTTTATTGTTGCTGTTTGGTATGATGATTTTGGTGGCCATTTTATCGGAAACTGGTGTCTTTGATTATTTGGCGGTGTATGCTTATAAAGTAAGTAGTTTTTTAAACAAAATAAGCGTTAATGATTCTAAAATGTTTTATTTTTCCAGATTACTAATGGTCATGTCTGGCCATTGATTAATTGTTTGTGTTTGTTTACCGCTGTTTTATCTTCTTTCTTGGATAATGTTACCACGGTTTTGCTAATGACTCCCGTTACCATACGTCTTTGTGAGGTTATGTCTCTTAATCCGGTTCCTATATTAATGTGTATGGTTATCTACTCGAATATTGGTGGTGCCCTTACTCCCGTGGGTGATCCACCAAATGTTATTATTGCCTCAAATAGTTTTATATCCAAAAATGTAAGAATCTTTAAATCTGTAAAATATATAGAAAACTGCATAATCGTTTTTTTTTAACTTACAGGGTGTTAACTTCGCCATCTTTACTTTACACATGTTGCCCGGTGTTATTTTGGTAATGTTCCAAACTTATTTACAATTGAGATTTAAATTCCGCAACATAAGCGATTTACAATTCAAAGAATCTCCCGAAATTGAAGAACTAAAACATGAAATTCATGTTTGGAAACGGGCTGCTGCCAGTTTATCATCATACTCCAAGGATGAAGAGTTAGTAAGACAGACTTTGAATAAGAAAGTGAATCGTTTGAAGCGTTCTTTGAAGAAGAAAATTAACACCGCCATAGAGCCCACCATTAATTATAAACAAACTTTGGATCATTTGCAAGCGAAGGTAGGAAACTATTTTACGAAATACCAAAAATCAAATGACTTAAATACTTTCTTCTTGCTACTTCCAGTATCCCATACGTAATAAGCCTTTGCTTATTAAGTGTTCTTGTGCCTTGGTTTTTGTGATAAGTTTATTCTTTTTGCACTCTGTTCCCGAATTGCAACGTCTCTCTCTGGGCTGGACTGCTCTTTTGGGTGCCATATTTTTAATAATTTTAGCCGATATTGAAGATATGGAAGCCATATTGGCTCGTGTGGAATGGTCAACATTGCTCTTCTTTGCAGCTTTGTTTATTTTAATGGAAGCGCTTTCGGAGTTAGGTCTTATAGAATGGATTGGTAATATGACCGAGAATATTATATTGGGTGTAAGCGAAGAGTCTCGTTTAATGGTGGCTGTGTTAATTATTTTATGGGTACGTGTTGGTGGAAAACATAATTATTATTTAGAATTTCTTCTATTAAAATTATTTTTATATCCAGGTTTCCGCTATAGCTTCGGCTTTCGTCGACAATATACCTTTGACTACAATGATGGTAAAAATTACCATTTCTTTAGCTCAAAATAGTACATTGAATTTACCATTACAGCCTTTGGTATGGGCATTAGCTTTTGGAGCTTGTTTGGGAGGTAAGTTATCAAGATTATTTAAGATTTATTTAAAAATACTTTTAGCATAAGAATGAGAATGTATTAGATTAAGTTCCATCAGTGTGACCATTTTGGCATTTTTGCAGCTAGATTTAGCATTTTTTATTTTGATTTAGCTGTAAAATTTTAATTTAGCATTTGGCATTTTATTTAGCATTTTTATAAAATATTTTTAGCATTTTTAGCTTTTTTTTTGCAATTTTAGTATATAAACAAAAAAAAAAGACACATTTTTGCAAAAAAGATTTATATTGGAAATAGGTTTAACCGGAAAAAAACAGAATTAAATGTATACCCAAACACAAGCAACAAGAAATATGAGAAATGTAATAATTTACACTGTAATTCAAGATAATGCAAAAAGATTCATGAAGATAAATAACTTAAAATTACGCCAATACAAGTGAATACTTTAAAATGTTGAATTCTAAAATATTTTTCTGGAACCCAATGCTTTTTTAAATTCGAAGTGAGAAATAATTCAAGAGATTTCATATATTTTTACAAATACGTTCAGTACGTTATTTTACAAACTAATACTTTTTGTTTGCTCATGGAATGAAACATATAATTTTGGAAAAGGCTTTGTATGTATGACGGTTAATTAACAAATTTTATTTTTTCCTATACGAAATAAAGAGGTTTTAATTTTTATCATCCTTCAGGAGTTCTTGTTAATTTATTGAAAATAAGTATTGAAAAAAATCAATAATATATAATTAAGACTTTCTCATCCTACTTTCTGTTATTTTTATTTTTACCAAATTTTTAGTAATTTTGTTGTCACTTTTTTTTTAATTAAAAAAAATACATAAATTTCGAAAATATTGTTGACAATTTATTTCAGAATTACAAACTTACGGATTTGAATATATCTCTCAATTCATTTCATACATTCTCATATATATTTTTCCGAAAAAATCTTGGAAGTATGAGTTATAAACCTGACATCTATTCACCGAGATTTAAAATTATTTCAACGGAATTTTCAATATTTTTGTGACATGAAAACCATTTTTAACGTGTTTTGAGAAAGACAAATAAAATTGTTTATATAAAAAAAGTAAAACTAGAAATATTATACTTTTCCTTCCGAAAACACATATAGGTTTTATACCATGAGCAACTAGTGTAATTAATAGAGTTTTAATGTAATTTTTGCATTCAGAAATATTTTAAAGTTAGAGACATTACATATTGCTAAATTTACAAAAATTTTGAAATAATTTTTAGCATTTCTGTTTATCTTAATACCACGGAACTTAATTTTTTACCCTAGTCCACTATACTACGTTTGAGTATACTAATCGGTTAAGAATCATTTTCTGAATCGATTAAGCCATGTAAGTCTGACCGTCAGGAAGAGCTTGAAATTTTCAAAACAATAAGCACGTATGCTTTTTGATTCAATGACAAAACCTTTTAAAATGGTTAAAGTCCGTCCTTTATTTTACCTAGCCCCCATACATATACAAATGTATAAAGCCTTTCTCAGAAAATTAGTTTAAATATATCTGAACCAAGGTTCAATTCAACATAAATGCTTTATTACGAAAAATAAATCAAATTTTATACTCATATGGTCAACCACGGCAGAATATACTTTCTTACTTGTTATAAATTACAATGAATTTCAGTTACAAATTAATATGAATTGTTCATAAAAACACTTAAAAAACTTTAGCATTTTTTTAGCATTTTAAAATCAATTTAGCATTTTTCTGGCATTATTTTGGATGGGATTTAGCCGCAACATTTTTTGAGACCTGGTCACACTGAGTTCCATGTTAAATCGACTGATCATTGACCGAATTATATCAAACAGAGATGGTCTTACAGTAATTTGTTTTAATTTAAAGAATCGATCTGTGGATTTAGTGAATGACAATAACTTTAGTTTGCTGGTTTTCTTAACTCGTAGTATCCGTCCGAATACAATGCTTTTTCGGAAAGCTTGGTTTAGCAAATTGGTTATGAATGTCTTAGTTCATACGATAAATTAGTATAGTGGTAGACTAGTCAGTTGGATTTTATGTAAAGATCTAATAGAATATCTATCTTATCTATTATCTATCTATCTATCTATCTATCTATCTATCTATCTATCTATCTATCTATCTATCTATCTATCTATCTATCTATCTATCTATCTATCTATCTATCTATCTATCTATCTATCTATCTATCTATCTATCTATCTATCTATCTATCTATCTATCTATCTATCTATCTATCTATCTATCTATCTATCTATCTATCTATCTATCTATCTATCTATCTATCTATCTATCTATCTATCTATCTATCTATCTATCTATCTATCTATCTATCTATCTATCTATCTATCTATCTATCTATCTATCTATCTATCTATCTATAGCTACATAAATAAAAGAGTAATTTTTGTTCGTAATCGATAAACTCTGGAAGTAAGGCACCTGATAGGGATCGTTAGAAGTGTTTCCGTAAAGTTTTCAATTTGTCAGGCAGATGGCGACAAAGTTTATTTTAAAATTAATTAATTATTTATATGTAGATCTTTACGTGTAGAGTCCACATGGCTAACCATGGGGCGACAACGCGGACCAGGCACTACTAGAACAATATAATTATTAAGAAATTCAATTACAATTTCTATATCTTTCTCAATCTTTTTAGGCAATGGTACTCTCATTGGTGCTTCGGCTAATGTAGTGTGTGCTGGTGTTGCTGAGCAACATGGTTACAAATTTACATTCTTACAATTCTTCAAGTGAGTATCCTTAATATCAATCCCTCAATGTTCTAGTACATAATACTAATTACAATAATATCTTTAACATTTTTACAGAGTTGGTTTCCCCGTTATGATTGGCAGCATTTTAGTGTCCACGGGCTATCTGTTAGTAAGTCATGTATTGTTCGCATGGCATTGATAAAAACTTTGAGAAGAATTGCTAGACAATTCTTCAGCAGCAAAACTAGTAGTTTCAAATTTACCTCGTAAAATGTGTTTTTTGTTTTGTTTAAATGAAATTCATTTTCCTTTTTCTTTATGTTTTGTTTTTATTTTAATTAAATAATTAATTAAAAATTCTATTAGATTAAAGTAAGAAATTATTAGAAACGAAACAAACAAAAAAATGTTACTAACAACAAGTTTCGTTTTTTTCCAATAAATTTCTTTTACTTTATGTTGTTTTTGCACATTTATTTTCATCATTTTTTTAATTATTAAATTAATTAAATCAATGTAATTATTAATTATGTATCTATGTATGTAATATCATAAAGTTAAATTAGGGCCCAAAATTCAAAATTACAAAATCTTGAGTGATTAACTAAAAGAAATTGATTATTGTACAACAAATAAATTCTGAAAAAAATTACAAAAACAAAGTCAAGGTATCACACAGACACACACACATACACAATTTGAAGAATAGTTATTGTAATTTATGTGAATTTTAGTTTTTAAGTAAAAAAAATATTAAAAAAAAAACTACAAAAAAATACAAACGCTAAAACGAAAAATTTAAGAATTTCATAAGTAGGGAATTAATTAAATAAATTAAACAAATTATTTAAAAATAAAAACAAATTCTATATATTTAAAACAATATATTTTTAGGTATAATAAACTAGTGTCAGTTTAAATTTATTTAATTAAAAAATTAAAAAAAAAAACAATTATAAACTGAGATAAACAAACAAAAAAAATAAATTGTACTATTTTTACACTTGTTGTTATTATTTTTTTTTTTATTAGAAATTAAGTCGCAACTATTGCCATAAGTTCCCTTAAAATAAAAAATCTACATTTTAAATAAAGATTGTTAAATAGTTTAATTAAAAAACGCATTATAAATATTTCAATTGTTATTGGAAATCAAATAAAGTTTGGAATCAAATAAAGCCAAAAAATTTGATGTGAAATAAAAAGGTCTTGAAAAGGCTTTTAAAGTTCTGGAAAACATCAAGAACTAAACTAATGAGATTTTAATTTGAATAAGTTTATCTAAATGCTTTACAAAGGTAACGCATAGGGAATGTTTCATAAAGCTTGGGTCAATTATGGACTTAAATATGTTGAGATTTTAAGTTTAACTTAATACATACATTTTTGACCGATTTATTGCTAATAAACTTATTTTCTATAAATTAATGGGGTATAGGTTAGGATCAATTTTATAGTACGAATTTATATCGCATTTTATCCTTATACTTATAGGAATTCTGAAACCATTTATAACGGTTAAAAAAGTAATTTCCTAAAGGGGACCTTATATGAGGGCAAATATGACCTGATGTTCACATTACCAATAATTGAAAATGTTATCATTACCCTCCAAGCCTGTGGTTCCGACTTTATTTTTGAAAAAAAAATACGGTAAACCACACCAGTTGAAACGGTGGGTTCAATTCCCACCGGAGACACTGTTAAAGCAGCGCACAACAGGTCCGATGAAGGCCTATTTGTATTTATTAGGATTTGATGTAACATACATCATCCATTCAAACAAATCCGTTAAGTCAAAAATAGGCCTCATTGCTAAACAAAATAAAAACATGTAAGAACTTATAGTCGGGCGAGGCCGACCATATAATAGTTATAAAAATAAAGTGTGATTTAGTTTTCATAGTAAAGCATCTAAGTGGAATTGTGCCTTGCCTGAGATATACTTAAGCTATTTATTGTTAAATAAAAATGTGGACATATAAGTCATATTTTGAAGGAGGCTTCTTATAGGGGCTAGGGTCAAATTCATGAGGGTCATCAAGTATAGAACTTGATTTTGCAGCTTTTTCTCGAGATACAAATATATTAAACATAATTATGAACTTAAAAGCCCTATTCGACGGGTTCAGTTGCATGGGGGCAAAATGAAATAATGGACCGATGTTCACCACTTTCAATAGGCTTCGTACAATAAAAGATCATGTGCCAAATTTTATTGAATTATCTTCAAAATTGCGATATGTAGGTTGATTACAAAGTATACAAGCCCTATTCGGGGATTCAGTTGTATAGGGGCTAGGTGAAATAGTAGACCGATCTTAACCATTTTCAATAGGCTTCGTTCCTGGGAAAATATAAGATCATGTACCAAATTTCATTGAATTATCTTCAAAATTGCGACCAGTAGTTTGATTACAGGGTTTGAACGGACGGTCAGACTAAAAATTTTGATATAGGGAACCATAGCCAACGCAAACTCAACTACAACCAGAATCTATGATCGATAAACCGATGCTAGGCGCTATTAACTTATGCGTCAGTAATCATAACGGAGCAAAAAATGAAATATAGAATTACATATTACCGGGAATTCAGTGTATATGTTGAGTGGGTATATGTGGGATGTACAACTCGGGATATATCGAAGGCATGCAAGTCGTCTTGGGCTCCCCTTTAATAAATACTGTCGCTGTTGCAAAAACAGAAAAGGAAGAAACGGTCATCCATCTTCTCTGATCTAAATTGGAGTATAAAACGGAACTGAGGTTCTATATTGAAAACCGAGAAACAAAAGTATACTTCCGTCTACCTAATTGCAACCTAGCTTGCATTCAGAAGTCCGTACAATAACGGAATGTGTAAACTGAATTAGCATAAATATATTGTGTCTATAGAGGTTTCTATTCTATTGGGATATTAGAGCTTTAATCGAGTGGCAAGCTTTGTATCATATGGTAGCCACACGAGAATAACTGGCTCCGAAAACGAACATACTTACTTCCTTTAAAGGGAAATGAACTCGAGGAAGTTAACCTAACGAATGCAAAACCGTTCGACGAGACTGTATTAAAAACATGGGTGACAGAATCCCATAGAGCCACTGGGAATAATGATACAGTGGCTGGAATCACAAAGATCCTATGGGGTAACACTTACAAGAGGAGGACTAGAATAAGAAAGTCTGAAGTTTATATGATGGTACGTGATTTCGAACAGAACTATACAAAATTAGACAAGCAAATTCAGACGAATGTAGAGCATACGGAAAGGACTTTCTTTCATCAAAACTAGATACAAATATCTTGGATGAGATTTTATTCCAGATATGACATCCCTCACTAACAGTAAGTAAGAATTTTGAAGAATAACGTCCAAGAAACTGAATATAAGATTTTTCTCACCAACATTTTCCAAGTAAAAGAGCTGACAACAGGTCCGATAGTGACACAGGTGTATTTGCATCTTCTTCTCAACCTTATCTAATATACGTTTAATGTTATTAGGGGCAATTAAAAACATTTAAAACTATGTCTTTATAATGCTACTATATATATAATCGCTTCCTTCGTAGTGTCCTGAACAAAATAAATTTGAAAATCTTAATACATATAACCATAATGTTATATTAATACATTTTCCACGATTTCGGAATTTTGGTTTGTGGTCGGACCGAAAATTTCTAAAATATATTTATATAAATATAACTAGAAATTCATGGCATACTTATGTACCACAAATGTGTCATGTGTGCTTACAAGGGATCATTTTATAAACATATATTTTAACATGCCTAAAAGTATGCAAACTATATTTGTTATCAACACATAATATAGTACTTGCTGTATTGTTTACTTAACAATTAAATTGAACTGCAGAGATAGACAAACAAAATATTGTGCTAATATTTTCCAAGTCTGTACATGGTCTAGTCAACAGCAATTTAAACTACATATGTACTTCAGTCATGATTTTGTGGTCTTTGTACTATAAAGTGTTAAATATGTAAATATTCGTCTGTCCGTCTCTCTCTCCTTTGTCTGTCCAATTAATGAAATTTTCAGTGAATTTGCACTTTTCACATGTACGAATATTTAACAAAGTGTGTAAAAATGATGAATGCACCACCACCACACACTAATTCCATGCCTTTGTATAGATACCTGCAATCCAAGCATTTTGCTAGAGTTGTGTCAACATACGGTCATTTACCACAAGGAAAATGCTTTGCTTTTCTTATTGTATTTTATCTGTCATTAACAAATATTGAAAATTTGTTGTGTAAATATAGTGTGTGTGTCATATTTTTAAATTTTTGTTTGTGGGATTTCAAACAAAGTAACTCGGCATGAAAGAAAGAAAATAGTGAGTGAAATTTTTTTTATTATTTTTTTGAAAAACCAAAATATTAAATTTTTTACATTTAATTTTCTTTTCATAATTGTTAATGAATTGTTTTTGTCTGTAGGTAGTTCTGCTTCAGTAATTAAAATGTTATTTTGTGGAAATTGGTTTGTTTATTTGCACTTGAATATTTTACATAATATTTGTATTTGTTTATTTAGTGGTATTTGCTAACAAATTATGTAATACATATACATATAAATTTTAATTGATGTGGGTGGGAAGTGCTTAAAAATACAATGTTATTAATAAACAAGTAAGAATTTATAGTCATACATAACATAATCACACCAGTGATTATGTTAAAAATATTGTTTATTATACCCTACACGACTATAGTGGGGAGGGTATTATGCGTTTGTGTTGATGTTTGTAACACCCAAAAACATTGGTCCTACAGCCACCTTAAAATGTACCAATCGGCTCAGAATCACTTCCTGAGTCAATTATTATGTCCATCTGTCGGTCCATCCGCCCGTCGGTCTGTCTGAGTGTGTGTCCATGTAAACATTGTGCGCACTTTACAGGTCGCAATTTTTCAGATAATTTGATGAAATTTGGAACGTACGCTTCTTTTAGTCCAAGGACGAGCGAAAATGGTTAAAAATGGTTGAAATCGGTCAATTATTTCACCTAGCCCCCATACAACCGGACCCCCCGAATTAATTATGTTAAATGTTCTACTATCTCCACAAAACTTGGCAAAATTTAGTTTTATATATGTTCTAATAATTCTAGCGATTTTCGTAAAGATCGGGTATTATTTGACCCTAGCCCCCTTACAAAATCCCCTTCAGAAAATGACTTGAATGTTCACAATTCACTTATAAACACTAGTATCACGATAAAATTTGGCAAAAATAAGTTTTATATATAAACATAAATCCAATATACAATAAATTTTATAAGGATCGGCCCAAGTTTTGCCCTAGCCCCCCTATAACCGGCCCTTCCAATTTGGGCCTTTTGGCTCATAACTACGTCAAATATACCACTATCTTTCCAAACGTCAGCATAATTAAGTTTGATATAATTATAAATAACATAAAGACTTGAATGCCCACAACTCACATATAAACACTATTATTACGATTAAATTTGGCACAAATAAGTTTTATATAAACATTATTCCCGATAATAAATTTTATAAGGATCGGCTCTATTTCCGCCCTAGCCCCCATTCAATCGAACTTTCCTATTTGGGCATTTTATTTCTTAACTTCGTCTAATATACTACTATTTATCCAAAAATTGGCACAATTTCCAGATGTTTGTAACACTCAAAATTATTTGTCCTTAAGTCGGTTCAGAATCACCTTCTAGAATCACCAAAAATTGGCACAATTTCCAGATGTTTGTAACACTCAAAATTATTTGTCCTTAAGTCGGTACAGAATCACCTTCTAATTCGATTAAGCTTC